AGGGTATGTTTTATTAGCTAAATTTGGTCACAAATAGTTTTGGTATTTGTCTGCCTTCTGTATCACCTCTAAGGTATAGGAAACCAGGATTTAGTTAGCTTTAAAAAAACATGGTATGTTCACTGTATATTAAAAATACCTGTATTTAATGCTTTCTCTTAGTACAGAAAAGTGTATATATGTGTATATACACACACGTGTTGTACTCAGCTTTCTGTTTTATTTGCCATGCAGACTTGAACAGAACAGACTATTCACGTAAATTATAAGAAATGAAAACCTTGTAAGAATATTCATGAGCTGGAGTTTCTGGGCAACATACTATGTGTGTCTGCGCCCATGCACGAATATGCGCGTGTACACACACTTTTTTTTAACTTGTTGATTCAGATGTCTTGGTCCCTGAGTAGTCCTAGATTAGTTTGAGAATCCGTTGTTAAAAATTATAGGAAATTAAAAGAATTGACTTTTTTTTTTCTTTTAGAGGGTGGGAGGGGTAGGATGAATGTGCTTCTGAAAATTTTACTAGTTTATTTCTGTGGAGAATACCAAGAAAATGTGTATTTGCCCATTGTTAAATATGACATATGCCATTTTATATTTATTTGGAAGTGTCTTTTTGTAAAAGGAGAATAAACAATAAGCAATTACTGATCTATGTTTTCTATATTGTTTATTTCAGTTTTTCTTAGAGCTTAATTGAAGAAGAATGGTTTGGGGTATTCCTTTCTTGTTTGTGCTGTGCGTTTTGAACTTGATCAACATTGTAGATGAAAGGGTGAATTACCCAAAGGATGCATTTCACACACAGGCTGTGTGGGAGCAACACGGCTGGTTTATTCACCCGGGTGCAAGTGGGCTGAGTCCAGAGAGTCAGCATGAAGGGGGTTTAGTGAGGGTTTTTATAAATGGGGATGGATGACCCCCCTTCCACCTGTCCTGTTCAATTCTTTGTTTCTGGGCCAAACTGCCAGGTGAAGAATTGCTTCCTGCTGCGTGCAGTTCACGTATGGCAGAGGACGGTGGGCAGAGCAGCTGTTTGCAGTAAATTCTTCTTCAAACAACCAACTCCTATGACCCCTTTGCCCCAGTCGCATCCATCTTTCCGCTCTGGCATCGTCCTTACCAGGAGAGCTAGGGAGGGACAGCCTTGGTCTCCATCAGGGAGGGAGGGGGAAGGAATGCTGGCTGCAGCTGGCTGTTAGATCTACAAAGTCCAGGGACTCCCCAGACCCCTTCGGCTATTCTTATATAAGCTTAAGTTTTGCATTAACCACATTCTGTCTTATACATACTTTTCTGGTTCCCACCTGGAATAAACCTAACGTTAGACAGATTGTCCAGGCAGATTATAAATGAAAACCTAACAGGTAGTTCAGAATATAATTTCCCATTTTAACTTTGGGTCTTGTCCCTCGTCTCCCTCTGTTCCTCAGTGCTGCTGTGGATGTTTTAATTAGCCAGTATTTTCTGTATGTTGGGTTAATGTTTTCTGTTTTCGAAAATACCTGTCATATGTATCATTCCATTCCATTTTGAGTACTATGTGTCCATTATGGTGCTAGGTATTAGGGATTGCAATGGTGAAGAGATACAGTATATATTTTTATGGGGTTAAAGTCTAATAGAGGAGACAAAGTAAAAATAATTACAAATTTTAATAGGTGCAGTGATGAAAATAATACTGACTTAAGAAAAAACAGAAAATCAACTTCAGTAGAAGTAGTCAGTGTTTTGCTTCTGAAGAAGATATAGAAAGCCTGAAGAGGCTGTCATTCCCAGCTTAACAGAGAGAAAAGGCTGGTTAATCTACAAAATTACAGCATTTCTTGAGCATACCAAAGAACAGATTGCAAGATAAACAAGTACACTGAATCCCAGAGAGCAATACACCCTCCAAAGAGGAATGGGACATCCAAACTGTTCATCTTAGGAAGAACCTAAGAGAAAGAGGTGGTCACTATACAAGCAGGTAAGAAAACATTAGCAAACATTTTAACAAATACTTAAAGTATACATATGGGCTGATGCCACGGCACTCTAGCCCGGGCAACAGAGTGAGACTCTGTCTCAAAAAAAAAGAACACAGACGGCTGGCATTACTGGGAAATGGAATATTGCTACGCAAGAATCTATTGCATTCAAGGTATCTGATAGAAGGGATTTGACAAGTTAACTTGTCTTTTCTTTTACCTAAGCACTTGCGTGCTTGTACGCCGAGTGGCACTCTGAAGCAGTGTCTGTCTGCACTGGTAGTGGCACAACCCTCAACCTTCAGAGCACCGGGATGTAGTTGCCTTTTGTTTGAAGGACCCAGGACAGGAGTTGTGAAGAAGCATTTCCCCGGGACCTGTTATTCGTGACAGGGCATGTTTCAGGTATGTTTCAGGACAGGGCATATGCCAGTGCTGAGTGTGAGATCCCAAGTAACAGAGGTGCCCATGTGTTTTAATACATTTGTGTGTGTGTATGTGTGTGATTTGCAGGCGTTCCCAAAGCATGCAGAGGCCCCTCCTGCCCTGTTTTAAGGGCAATGGCGCTCTTAGGCCATGGGGTGAGATTATAAATATGGCCTTTCTAATTAAACTCTCATTCACCATGAAGAATGCAGTGAGTGGAGAAGGAGGTGGAAAGTGGACCAATTTTCTTATTTTGCTGACAAAAAATAAGCTTTACCTCCTGACTTGTATGCCATTGTCATTTTAAGTGTTGTACTATCTGCCAGTCTGGCTATTATAATTCACACAATTACAGAAGACACAAAATTTCTCATGCATTCATTCGCTCATTCAATATGTATTTACTAAGCACCCTGTTTTCTAGGTGCTTTTTGGGGAGTAAAGAACTGAATGACAATTAAGATCTCACACTCTAGAGGAGGAGACAGAATTGAACCGTGAATAATGATAATATTGAGGTGAGTACTTACAGGTGTGTTTAAAGTAATACAGGAACATAGAGGAAAGAGCAGCTGCCCATGTCAGTGTAGCCTGGCCTAGGGAAGGCTTCAGATATGGCAGAATAATAGTAGTTTCCATGAAATGCTAACAGAAGGACTGCTATGTTATAGGCTCTCTTCAAATACTGTCACATTTACTTCCCACAGTAACTTTCAGAAGTAGTCATTTATGTCCATTTTACAGGTGAGAAAATGGAGGACCAGAAAGGTTAAGTAACTTGCTCAGTGCCACACAGCTAGAGTTGCAACTTCCAGATCTTCCTAACTCCGTAGTGGATAGACTTTGTACTATGTCCTGATATTGGATAAGTCTTGAAATATGTGCAGGAGCTTACATGAGTAGAACAAGCAGTGTAAGGAGCATTCAGGCAAAAGCAGCACCATGTTATTCAAGGTGTGAGGTGTAAATTCAAATGATAAAGCAAAGCATGTTGAGTAGCCACAAAGATGAAATCACATAAGGGGTAAAATTACAACCATTTGACTTACTTGAATAGGGTTCTGTGCAAATCCCATTGCCTGGTTGATTAATGATTTCTAACAGGCCCA